GTGTGTGTGTGTGTGTGCCTGAGTGTGTGTGTGTGTGTGTGTAAGGACAAAGTATTACCCCTCAACAGATGAATGAGAACACAGTCTTCAACTGTTAGTGCACATACATCGTTCTGCACAGTTAAAACACACTTTACAGTTAAAGGCATTGAGGGCCCCTTGTTTTGTACAGTCCCCAGCAACGTGAGCTTTACAGGGCGTGTTATTCTTCTCAGCCTCTAAATCAGACAAAAAACACACAACTGCTGTATCAATGTGTGCACTTCCTGAACTCTCCACAATTCACTAATGCTTCCATAGAAACCTCCGCAGCATTCACTGTTGAATAAACTGTGCAACTGATGCAAACACATTCAGCTGCTGCAGTTTTCCAACATGATGTGGTACAGTCGACACACTGCACTGTGCACAGCAACACGTCAGCATGAATGGTTCAACATTTGTTTTTTAAAAACTTACCAGTAACGATTCCATAGTTGGGAGCCTCAATAATTGCACCATAAAACTGTATGATGTTACGGTGGCTGAGGACACTGAGAATTTCAGCCTGAGCAATGAAAACACAGAGAAAATATTAACTTTATCTTTTGAAGAAAACAGGGCTATTAATCTACAGCTATTGAGCTAACATGCTAATGTTAAAGCAACCTTACACAACTTGACTATCATGCGTTGCCAAACTGCATTGTGGTTCAGTTTAATTGCGTTGCAATTTCCTAAAGAACTGCAATGAAGAAAAGAAAGACGCTGTCTGCGTTCGTTCCCTCAACTCGTTTTTGGGGAGGTGCACGTCAGGGTACGCCATTGGGCTCTATGTAGGGTGCCCGTCTACGCATAGGCATGAGTCCAGTTTGAAAGTTCCATAGTGTTGCTTTAAGCAGGTATATTGTTTGCATGTTCTCCATCTTATTCTAGTCTTCTGGGAGTGTTATCATTGGCTTATCAGCACAAAACACAAAATACGAATAACAAAGTGTAAAAGTTAAGGGATTGCCGAGAGCATCGGGTCATGAGCCATATCATGAAAATTAGTTGTTGAGAGATTTTAATTTTAAAAAGAACACAATCATGCACTAAGCACCTCTCCACTTCTCTCTGTCTCAGAGAGATTCATGATATGAATTGTGCCTGTCAATAATAATTACTAGTCATTACACTGTTGTTTACATTTTAACCAGTCAGATCTGATACCTGATGGCGCTCAAGTGTTCCCGGTCTTTCTCGCCCCCCTCTCCCCTACTTCCCCCTCCCCACTATCCCTCTCTCTTCTTTCCTCTCTTTTCCACCCATCTCTCCTCTCCTACCCCCGTTTTCTTTGCTCACCCCAACCGGTCGAGGCAGATGACCGCCCACATTGAGCCTGGTTCTGCTCGAGGTTTCTCCCTGTTAATGAGTTTTCCTCTCCACAGTCGCCAAAGTGCTGCTCATTGTGGGAACTGTTGGGTTTCTCTATATTTAATATGATTTTAAGGTCTTGACCTTCTATGTAAAGTGCCTAAAGATAATGTATATTATGATTTGGCATTATACAAATAAAATTGAATTGAATTGAAATAAAAATGTGAAGTAAATGGTGGCAGTGGATGAAATGTCGGTGGATCAACAAACTGAGTCAGATTCATCCTTCGTAAAACTGTTGTTAAGATATTGTAAACTAGAGCTACATGCATGGTTAAATATAAAGGAGAGAGTATATAAAGACATATTAATATAATACACAGTCCAAGAGGGTCTCATGTGTCATCGTTTAAAGAATGAATAGAAACTTGACAAAACCAATTAATTTAATTGTAGTCAAACACTGTAATTAAAGGAACAATTGGTTGAATGTGAAAGGATTAGTTATTATTTTCACTGAACAAGCATTTCTCCAACACTTGAGTGAAGCTAAATGGATATCTGTGATCTTTCACAGTTTTATAAAAGGCATGATGAATACTTTTTCTGAGCCTATAACGGTAAAACAATATCTGTGAAAAGATTTCAAAGATAATTAATTTTTTGTTTTTAAGACAATGAACCCAAGCTTTCAAAGGGATTTCAAGAACGGTCTCTGCTGTAATTGGGCCAAACACATTCTTTCATTGGGGGATGAGGTTTCTTTTTGCAGCACGCTTCGAAGAGTGAGGGAGTATAATGACCATGAGTGACACGTACGGAAGTCACCACATCCCACTGAATGGGGCAGCAATTAAAATGATTACTACACTGACAATTAAAAAGTATATGAAAAGCTCAAGCAATTATGACTCCTACCTCATTTTCGATCTTGAGCAGCTTTTTCACCGCTACCTCTTTGTCCTGGGAGATCCACTTGGATCGGTACACACTTCCGAAGCTGCCACCGCCGCAGTTCTCGAAGAAAATAATGTCATCAATCTTGACATGCACGAAGGAGGTGCTTGGAGACAACATCTCATAATGACACTCAGCTCCAACTCAGCTCCTAGGAGACGGGGGGATCACAGAAAAAGAAGGAAGCCTGCAAAACTTGTTCCTCCAGTGCATGATGCTTCAAACAATAGCTTTGTTCTGAACTACTACAACTTAGACCCTGAGTCACTGTAGGTCAGACGGACTCCAACAGGACCCAAAAGAGACTGCTGTGCCGTCAGCTGATTCCACATGTAGTGTCGGTGTGATATCCTTGATGTTGGCTCTGTGACTTACTGAGCATCCTCTGTCTCTTCCTCTTTTCCACACAGTCATGATCAGTACCAGTAAACACTGAGCTCAGGGTCCACACTGTTTGTTATGAGGAGGATGGCATGCACGGTATGCTGTGAGCACGTAGCCAAAGTCACAGACTACTCGAGTCTGGCCGACTGTATTCGGTACAAGTAAGGTCATAAGAGAGAGAGCTAAAAACAGTGACTATAAACTGTCTGTGATTGTTTCGAGACAAACGCCTGGAGAGTCCATCATGTTCTCTTTATCTTTTGAAATAAAAAAGAAATCTCCCTGCCTGTGTAAAGGCCATTATACTGCATTTGTGTAAACTGGGGTCAGGACGAGCATTATGCTGCCAAACTGTCAATGCAGATGGATAATGTGGTTTTGTGTGTCCGTAACAGCATAAAAGCATCTTGTAAAGAAATAATTAATTACAGGAAATTGTAGCTCTGTTATTGTCCATAGGTTTCCCATTTACAGCTGCACAATTACAGCTTTTAAAAGCTTGTTACCTGGGTCTTCATTGGGATTGCTATCCATCCCAGTGGGGAATGCCTCCATTGTCACAGAGGGGAGCCGTTCTGCTTCATTCAGCTTTTTGCTGATTTACTTGTATTCATGCTATACTTAGCCTCAGCCCAATCTGCTCAGTGGACCTCCCCACCCCCCTCCAGTGTTGTCCGTCCACTCAAGAAGCCAGGGTTACTGGGATATGGTAGCACTCGGCAACTCATTCCTGTCCGTTTCTCACTTAATAGCAAACAACGCTTTAAGCACTGCAACAATAATGCCTCAATAGACCATATGTCAAACTGCATGTTGACCTGTCAGCATCTAATTCACACCCTAACAGCAACAACGTTACATTTAAATCCAGATGTTGATATCACAATCTTGAATACCGATCTTACAGTGCATGATGCTTTTGATGGCTTGAATCCAGATGTTGAAATCACAATCTCAAATACTAGTTTTAGCAGTGCATGATGCTTTTGATAGCTTTGTTGACATCACAATCTCAAATACTGATGTTGCAATGCATGATGCTTTTAACAGCTTGAATCCAGATGTTGAAATCACAATCCAAAATACATATTTTACAGTGCCTGATACATTTGGTGCATTAAATCCAGATGTTGAATTGACAATCTTAAACACTGATTTTAAAGTGCATGATGCATTTGATTTCTTAAATGCAGAGCACAGACACAGTTCACTGCATCATCAAGTAAAACAGTGGGGAAGTGTGTTACTCTGCTTCATGGTGTGTTTATGACAGGACTGGACATGCTATAGTTACACTTACACACTTAATAATCAGAATAATACGCTACTTAAGTATCACACCCAACTACAACAAGAACTACAGTAAACCTGTACACACACCATGCACTTTTAAACTACAGCCTCTGGATCTCTGCTTCCCTCCAGCTGGTAAATACTATGTGAATACCATGTAAATACCCTGTCCACCTCCAACACCCGCCCTGACGCAGAGAACATACCGACATGAAGTGCGAGGTCTCGGGCTCCGCAGCAGCTGGTCCCGCAGGTTCCACCGGACAGAAAGTTTCGCTGAAGAAGTTTCCGGGAAGGCTCATGTGACGTTTGATTACTTCTCCTCTCGGTCCGCGGTGGTTTCACTGGTTACACAACTTCCTCCAGCAGACAACACACTGACTCCATCCCGGGCGACATACTGATGACAACAGCGCCCCCAGGTGGATCAGAGGAGCACATCCTCCATGTTTGTTCCAGTGTTTTTCTAATCGCCCTGGGACGGTGGTGTTCAACATGTGGTCGGCGGATCAACCGAGGTCCCCGGAGACATCTCTTACATATCTCATTATTTATATAACCTTGAACAAACTTCACTTTGTAACCTGAACCATTTAAAATCTTATTTCCATGTCAATGTTATTTAAATCTATGATTCATTTTGTGTGTTACATAATATGTTAATATGGGCGAGAAAGACCGGGAACACTTGAGCACCATCAGGTATCAGATCTGACTAGTTCAAATGTAAACAACAGTGTAAAGACTAGTAATTATTATTGATTACATGCACAATTCATATTATAATTAATTACTGAGACATGACTCAATGAAGTGTATTTTTGAGATACATGGGTCTACTTTCATTTTTATAGCACTATTATTTGACAGCTATAGTAATAATATAATATTTACTTAACAAGATAAGTGTGAATAAGAAATAAATAAATATGATGTATTCCTTTACATAAAATAATTTGTCTATTAAGTAGATAATATGAGCGCCATCTGGACCACATACTATAATAACTTCTTACATGTTACTGCAGTAGTAATAATAACAATGCAATGATATAACCCCAAAACTGCCCAATAGAACATCAAAAAAAAAAGTGCTAGCTATAGAAGCACTGTCTGAATGTGTGTGTGAATGGGTGAATGGAAAACTGTAGTGTAAAGCGCTTTGAGTGGTCTTCAAGACTAGAAAAGCGCTATATAAATACAACCATTTTACCATTTATAAGACGTAAATGTTACACTAGTGAATACTGACTGCCTCCATGAGTGCAATGAATGTTTTAATCTTCTTGGTAAATTTGGTTTATGATACCTTAATTGTTTTAACTTATATGGAATATTTTTACATTAATTTCAGTTTTTATTATTATCTTTTATCAATTTTACCCAACACGTTTATCAATATGGGTTATCTGGATCTGATACAACTAGATCTCTTACTTTTTAATCATAAAAACAGGTTATAAGAATAGTGTGAAGCACATAAACATTGTTGTGGCTCATCTGTTGAGGACCGCAAAAATTTGTTGTTGGAACCATAGTGAATGTGTTACTTGATCAGGGGTTTTCCTCTTAATTTTAAAAATCATGACAACGTAGAACATTGTTTATCATTGGCTGTTGAACTTGTACTCAGGATTATATTTCTCTAATATTTTTTAATTCACATATGATGGTTGAATTGAACTTATCAATGGAATGGTTGACTTGAAACAGGAACAACAAACACTAAATTAATACATTTAAAATATTTAATATTTGCAGAACACACAAGGGTTTCAGACATTCAGACACGAGAAATGTGCTCACATCGATAAAAATCATGATCCTCAGCATGCTGATGTCAAAATAAATATTTGTACACAATTTACAACACATATGTATCTCACAAATTTAAATGTGTATAAATATGGTTTGATACAAAAGTTATGAAATAACTGGATATCAGGAATATAATGGCAACTTGTTAAATCATCAGCATCACATACTGTATGTAGACATCTGAAATTTCACACAGTTTTCTGATGAATGCAATCCACCAAAGATACTTTTCAACTGTCCTTGTGTGAGTTGGAGATAATGGTGGTATCTGCAGCACAGTGATATGAGAGGTACTTCAGCGACAATTACTGTTGTTAGAATATTACAAATTACTGTAATAAAAGGCTGAGCGAGTCGGGTAACAGCATCTGAAACAATATCTTGTGATGGGATATGACATAAGGTCCTCCAGGTGATTGCCTGTACTGGAGTTAGTTCATCCAATGGTGTCATGAAGTGAAGCAGCATGAGAGTGGAACATCTCTGTCCCTGAGTGGTCTCAAGTCCTGCGGGGTTCAAGTTCATGAGAGAGCTGAGTAAGCGTCCGCTGGTTGTCGATCACGTTGAGCTGACGAACGTAAGTCCGAACCTCCGGGTGGGTCTTGCTGGCCAAGGGTGAATCTGGCCCTGATTAAATTGAAAATGCAGATAGTGACATTGAACGTTATTCTCTACAAATCAACAGAGATCTTTTAAGTCTCCATAAAATTATTTCTTATCAAATATTTCCACTTACTGAATGGTTGGCTCCTACAGTGTCTCACTATCTTGACTGTATTAGCAATCATTCGCTGAAAGACAAAAAGCAACAATCACATACCAGGAATTAACTGATAAATTAGAAGATACAAATTTTCACCGTTAGATCAATACTCTGCACCTCCAGAGTCTCACCATTTTTTCAAAATTGACCAAACTGTCAATAAATGTCTTGTTGCCCTCGTGAGTGAAGGTCATGTCTGTAAAAGACAATGAAAAGCAGTGAGTGATAAAGAAAGAACAAAGATTTTTTAAAAAACATCCACCTTAAGCAACCCATCAATTCAGCCATCCCCAATCAGTCTTTTGAGAGAGTGCTGTGAGTGCAGATGAGCATAGTGCTGCTAACTAAATCACAGGATGTGCAGTTTAGATTTAGATTTAGATTTTTTCCTTTATTGTCCCTCAGTGGGGAAATTCACATGTTACAGCAGTAGCACAAGATTTAAACATTTTGAAGTTGAATAGAACAGGTGGAGCACTTTGCCTCACACACCCTCTCTCCACACAAACACACTGACCAGCTACTACCGTCAGATTTACCATCAGCAGCACCAGGAGTAATTCTACCTGTGCCAACAGCTGTCAAAACATCCATAAAGATTTTACCATCTTGGGCATCCAGGCAGGATTCAGCATAAAAAAGGTTCATAGCTTTTGCTGTGTGCATTCATGTAACAAGCATACACTTCACTAATGCAGGCGTTGTCCCGCTCCACATCCCAACCCTTTACTTATCAGCTCTAAAAGTTAATCATACTGAGAAACACACCCAAGAAATATTCACACCAAGTTTGGTAAGAAAAAAAAACGGCCATGCGTTATTAAATTTTTTTGCACACACGCATTCAAAATGAACAAATCACCTACTGGATAAAACTGTCAAAGTAGCATTAACACAACAAAAACAATTCTGATGCACTGGTCAAACTGATGTTACGATAAACAGTCATGTAATAAATGACTCTAACCTTTGATCAGCAGTGGCATGAAGGGAATGATGGGAGGCTCCAGCTTGGCGACTGTCAGTCTGTATGCTCGGTGGTTCCTGGAGGGGTCCTGTGGAAACAGGCACACTGTTGTGAGATATGCCGTCGCTGTGATAAACAGATCCATCACAGTCGTGGCCAGCGGTGACACTGCTATAAACCCACAGTGAGCAGCTGACAGTGCAATAATCTTGATGATCTTCTATTCAGTATTTATTCAGACAAAAACAAGAGTATCAACACAGTTCGAAGTAAACAAAACATTTTATAACGTTCTTTCTGCTTACCATCAAGTTTTCAAATTCACAATAAAACTTCTTGAATTTGTTGGGAAGTTTCTGTGAAGACACATGATAGAAGAATTTGTGATTAAGATTTTAGTCATTTTGAAGAGACACAGACACGGAGGACAAATCTTTACACCCACCTCCCAGGTCTGACTGAGCCGGCTCACTGCAGGGTTACTCAGGCCCATAATGACAGCAAAGAAGGCGTTCAGGTTCCTGTACTCCTTACAGCTTCGACACGAAATATGAGAAGATAAGATAGGGGAGCGAATAAGCATGAACTGCATTCAGAGTTAAATGAAATATAGCTAAAGAATGAACAGTGACACAAGATAAACTCACTGGGCAGCGATCTTGATGAACTTCTTGAGAAGCTGAACACGTTTACTGAGCTGAGAACACAGACACATCTCTGAGATGACCCAAAACTGAATCTCATTAAACCTCCTCAGAAACAGATCCAGGTTCACGGTGGTTTTCTTCATGTTTTGCCTCCCGAATGTGTGGTAGAGGAGATCGAGCTGTGAGATACACACAGAACAATATTTATTCTTCTGATGAATAAAAAAGCAGATTAACTAAATAAAACCAAACCAATTAAATAAATAAAAAACAGGTTTACAATGCTGTCAACCTCATGGGAGGCATTATACAATGAATCAGATCTGCTAAAGGTACATGGTGTCTCCGTTATACCTCATGCACACAGTTGAAGAGCTCCCAGTCATACGAGGTCACATGATAAGCCACATCCTTAGAGCTCATCAACTCAAAGCTGGACAGTGACCCTGTCGATGGGCCCTCCTGCTCATGTAAAGGGGTCTGGAAAAATAAATGAACAAAATCAGAAATATATAAAACATGGTTATGTTAAACAGAAGTCAACAAAATGGCAAAAAAACACTTTGGCTGCTCACAAGAATTAACATTTAAACAATTCAATTCAAGAATCAATACATTTCTATGATCTGAAGGAAAGGCGTTGACTCACTAAAGAATCCAACTGGTCCCGTCTGCAGGCAAACAGACGTCCATTTATACTGAGAGTGGAGAACACTGACACATCGTTGGGCTTGAAGATCATTTTCTCTGTCACATGAAAACATGAGAGGGTTCATTTTATTTTATAAGAAATTTTGCCCTCATTTCATTTAAATGTATCATTAAAGTCAAAGAAAACAAAACGGAATAACAGTCTGGTCAGTCCAACACTTTGGCCCAGAATAAAATCTTAATCATAGGCTGATTCTGGGTGTACCAGCATACAGTCCAGGCTAAATTGATGTCAAACATCACAGTTGTTTCTGCATTGGATTAACTGGTTGGACCAGGCGTCTGTGATTGGTTGTTTTGCTGTCAGTCACCTGCTCCTGACCATAACCACCAATCGCAATGACGCTCTGGACGATCCCAGCTGCTTTAATCAAGGAGTAATGACAGTGGTGAGTGTGAACATATTGATTCTGAGTATTTAGCAGATGTTTGGGTTGTTATTTTATAGTTTTATTTCACGGTCAAGCAGTCAGCTGTTCAGAGCACCCACTGGAGCAGCACCTATTATCTCAACAACTGTTTCATGGATCACCATTATATTATAACATTGCACCATCCAGCTCTTTCATGGAATATTTTTCTCATCTGAAAGATATTTAAAGCATTTCATTTCCTTCCTCTGCTGTGTTTTTGTTTTTAATTTACAGAGAGCACAAGTCAAGTGTGGACAAGTAGGAGCTGCATTTGACATCCCTGGCAGAGACAAAGGAACATGACTGCAGTGAGGAGCAGCCAGCACCAACAGCCTCGTGCTAAAAGAGGAACTGAGCCCAGGTTGTTTTTTTTCCCTCGAGCTGCTTTAAAGGGCGTTTTTTTAGCACCTCCTGTCACAGTCTGCAAAACGCACCTCGTTTCTCACTAAATCAGCCGGGGGATTAATTAGTATTACAACACCATGCTCGAGCCGGCTCGCCCATTGTACACGTAGCTGCCACTGCTCTCACCTCCTGCCGAACTGAGGTTGACCAGGAGCAGGTCCTCCGCTGACCCCAGCTTGTCGGCCACAGCACCGATGACCTCCCTGACTGAGGTGGCGACGGGGACCCGGATTGTGGTGTAGGTATGGTCGCAGCAGTAGACTTTGAACAGAACTGGAGAAAGGAATCAGAGCAAATAAGGGATTGTTGGAGGGAAGAAATGAAGAAGCAGCAAAAATGTACTTTTTGGAATAATATTTGAATACTTGACAACCTGGCAATCACAAGATAAATCTGAGGATCACACGATGATTCACGAGAAGAGTAGAAATCATATTATATGAAATGTGATTATTTTTCAGAATTTTCTCTAATATTTACTTTTCTTGTCAAATCTTGGATCTAGTTCTCGAAATCAAACAATAAACTTTGCTTTATTTAAAGGCATCAGATGTCAAAGAGGATAGGAATCTCTGCAGTGTTCAACAAAAACTGGCTTTAGTTGAGGAGATGCAAACAGAAATCTCCATGTGGGTAAAAGTCCTGGTGAACAGTCTGGGACAAACTTGACCCACGTGGAGACGTGTCCTTCACTCACTTTCATCATGGCTCTTAATGGGCTGACGCTTCTGAAGCTTCTCGTTGCCCATGCTGAACTGGCGCAGGAGGACTTTGTGCTGTGACAAAATTGAAGATGTTTAGGTCGAAAAGTATTCACAATATAACACAATCTGCATGAGACCTTTAATTTGAAAATGAAAGAGTCAGTTTTACCTTTTTCTGTGAGACTCTGGCTTCAGTGCTACAACATGAAAACAATAAGCCAAAGTTAAACAGAGGGCTCTCAGGCTGTTCATCAAACAGTAAAAGTGACATGTTTATATTATGAATACGAGCACTTTCGGATGACAGATCGTTATTTCACCAAAGTCTTTCCCACTCAGACACTAACTTACTTGTGCTTTACTATTCTCTCCAGCTCTGTGAGCTGATCTCTGAGGGCTGGAATCACTTTGGCATCATCAGACACAGCCATGAAAAACTCCTGCAAACACATAAAAAAGCATCCTACTGCCCAATGGAGACTTGTCATCTTAGCCTTTTGTCTTTCTAACCAGAACAACAAAAGTTTATTGTGTGTTTTAACTAAATTCCCATTGATTTTATTGTGTTCTGTGGTTAAATCAGTATTCTTATCTAGTGGCTGACCTGTAGGAAGGCCACTGACATGTCCTCCTCCTGCAGATGATCTCCATGCACAGCTGCCCACTGCATCACCAGGCGAATCACCCTGCGCTTGTTGTTGAGTGTGTAATCCAGCTTCTCCTGCTCAGAGCCCTGCAGGGCCTGGGCATGGTAGGTGCAGCGCAGTTAAAGATCAAAACATGTAACTACACAGCAGAGTAGTATGTTTATTTTCTTGTTCTCCTGTCGGTTTATCAGCACCAGAAAAGAACATTAGGTTAGCAAAGGATATTGGGCCATCAACACGGGACACAGTTGGCTGTTTGGAATGAAGACACAGTGCATGAGGGCAAAGTCTTCCAAGGCTGAATCTGTGACAGAAAAAACAAAGGAGCTCACGTCAAACACCTGCGACGTAAGAGCAGATCAGACAGTCTCTGTCATCTCTGCAGGCAAATGAAAACCATACGTATCCACACAAGCGAGAGTAATTAGATCAGCTCTGTGATGTGTGGCTAATTATAGATGAGCAGAAGCAGGTCAGTGCAGAGCAGGCGGAGGACAGAGCAGAGAATGAATATCTTGCATGGAAGAAAACCCCTCATAGTAAATGATCATCATTGTGACAGATTATATTACAGGCCTCTAATCTGACACAGTGAATGTTTCATGGGCTTTACCTGACTCTGCGAACTGGGAATCCAATCGCATCATTTCAAGGAGGTGCTCCAAAATCTTTTCCGGCGTCCCTGACATCACCCTGTATCTGGACAGAGTAAAACACACCCTTCACTAATCAAGAAACACTGGATCTCAAGGCCTAATGACACAACCGCGGCCCTCGATCTGATTTGTGTTATACTTGAACTTGTGTGTGTGTGATTGCTTCATTTGATAACATTCCTATTTACAATCACAGAGTTCTCGGCTCTGGATTAAGAGGAGTCTCGGCTAATAAAAAATACATATATATCGGGATGCAAGGCCGTCACAGGCCGTGTCAGGCCGTGTCTCCCCCCCACTCATGGGGGAGACACTATCATGTGTGAGGAGAGGAGCTGATTAGAGGGCGACCCCAAATGAGTCAATTGTGACTTGCCAGGCCTCTGTTTTACCCCGAGGAGCTCTGGTTCATCATTACCATTAATGTGTCTCCTTATATTACTGCAACTCTGGTGCAGTGACAGACGCCTCTGTCAAGAAAACACTTGTCGGCTGCACTGCACAGGAAGTGCTTGTGCAGCCTGTGTGATCAAGAAGCATTTTTTTGACAAACATAATCCAATATTCTCCAGCATCTTCAAGGAGAAGGCTTGTGATATTTGAATTTTTTTTCTCATTGTCCACAAATGTCCAAAGAGAAGACTAAAACCAACAATCTAGAAATTCCTTTTTTAATCTAAGTTAAATTGAATTAGCTGTTATAGGAAACAATTATTAAATGATACTAATAATAACTTTTATTTATATTGCACCTCTCAAAAACAGAGTTACAAAGTGCTTTATCATTTAAAATGAATGACAATACCAACAGTTAAAAATAATCCATACGATATAAGTGAGTCTTAAGAAGAGACTTTAAAAGAGGTGCTGAGCTGACCGGCCTGAGATTTCCAGACAGGGAGTTCCAAAGTCTCAGGGCCTGGATATTTAAGACCCTTTGTGACCTAATTATTCAGGACTTAGAAATCGGAAAGAAATAGGATTCAGTCAAAGACGAGCTGTACAGAGTAGCTACTGGAAAACAGCCTAAAGTATTGTTGGTTGTGGTCTTTTCATGAGATATGTTGACGATGAGAAAAAATATAGAATACTGTACTGCAGAAATACCACCTGCAGTTTCATCGTTTTCTGACTCAGAACATTTGTTTAAGTTTTTTAAGTATTTTTTTTTACCTTAAATAGCAGCTTTAAAATGTGTTTGATGGTTCACTGACTTGGAATGAGGAGAATGTTTCCTCTTTCATTCACACTCCTCACCCTGAACAGGTACCATCACTCATGAGGAGTGTTGAATAGGCTTTGTTTGTTCTCTACTGAAAACCAGTTTATCACTTAGACACAAAGCCCAACAGAATAAGTCACCATGCGAGGCTGCAGAGGGCGCTGTTTCTCGGTAAAAGTTAGTTCGAGGATTGTTGTCCATTTAATGGAGGGAGAAATACTGTGTGTTTGTTCACCTTTTCTGTCTTAATAGCTCTGTTTAGTAATGTGTGCAGTGCAGTGCAGGGTACATTTACTTGTAATGGGAGGACGAGGCTCCATGGACAGAGCTTCGACTGCTGCTGAGGCTCTTCTCCAACACCAGAACATCCTGACCGTGCTCCTTCAGACGCACCGTGTTTGCCTCCACATCCTTCACACAATAAATAAAATACATAATCATCATATAAAGACTCAGATTTTGTAGAATACACTGAAAGGTTGTTTTTTTCAGATCTGTCTGATCTTGTGTGTGAGATGCTGTCTCCTCCACAGTTGAGTGAAAATGATGCGTCGTAAACTGAGCACAGTGTTTACACCATCACACAATCATCTGGTAATTGCAGTGAGGTTTGACTCTGCTCTGTGAACCAGAACCAGTCGTAATTGTGCCTGCTGCAGAGACAGCGTCATTAACACCAGGCCCCAGCTACAGAGCAGAGTGGAGGAGATGGTTTATCCAACAGAGTCAACACACAACCACACTGACCTCAGGTCTTGATACAGACTGAGAAACATATAATAAGGAAACAACTGCAATTCAAGTCTGTTTAGTTTGAAACAACCACCAATTGGATGTTTTGTCTTCAATCATACTTTTTTCTAGTATGCTATGGTTCTTGTGACCTCGTAAGAAATGTGAAATTATGTAAACTTGAGGTGAATAAACTTTAAATTTAAAAAAGTTTATTTTCTCAAGTAATTGAATCGTTTCTCACAATGAACTGGAGATGGAGATCCTAATGTTTCCATAGAAACCACTGTGGAAACAATTTTGTCTGACATGTTGAATGTTGTACAGTGTACAATGAATGTTTAGAATATCTTGCTGAGTCTAAATATTGTCTAGCTCTTATTTATAATACTAATAAGACAGTTTATCACTTTAAACTTCTGTTGCAGGTTTTGAGAAATGGTGATACAAAGAAGTGATGTCATCAAATCCAATGAATCATTTTAAAATGTCGAAATCATTCAAAGGGAACATGAACAAATTA